ATGACCGGACGGTCCTTGGATCCAAGCTTAAAGGCATGGCACTTGCCTTTATCTGAATTCCGAAACTGTGAAGTCATGTCTCAGATTCAGCACTGCAGCTTTCTCCTTATCTGCCCAGGTTTTCGTAGCCACCGGAACCAATACTGCCTGGGCTTCTGTAGCTATGCAGAAATTCAGGCCTGTATGTATTATTAAGGCTTAGGGCTCTGGTTTTAGAGTATACAGGGTACAGGCCGGGGTAAGGGTGGTTACCGGTAGACTATTCGACAAAAAAAAGCGCTTAAAAACAGTTGCTGTCAGCTCCAGGAACAAGCCATAAACATATGACTTTGATGTCTGCACCCTTAGCATTAAGGAAAGCGTACTTCTCATCTGCATTTAGATTGAAGTCGTCGCAAGCAAGTTCGAGGCCTTGGGCTTTCGCCCATGTAGAGGCAAGAGTGTGAGCTTTTGTCAAGCCTCCGTTTCCCAGAAAAAGGTCCAGCATGACTGAAGCGGTAAAGTCTGGCCCAAAACCCCTGTAGCACACATGTAATGTGTCGAAGTGGATCAGCTTGCTGTCGAAGCCATCGAAGTCGCAGAGTGCAGGGATTCCGTGCCCCCTTTGGGCAGTCCAGAGCTCTTGCAAGAAGTCCTCAGTTGAACTTGTTACGATCAAAAAATGTTTGCCTCTGGCAGACAAGCCTCTGTATTTTTTTCGCGACCACAAAGCTCCCAAGGAGAATCTCCGAAGAAGTTCAGGTAGTGCCCGGACCCCATAGATAAGAATGTTGCACCATCCATCAAATCTATCGTGGAGGAAAGCCTGGGATGAGTTAAGGTCGCACGGCTTCGCAATATTTGGACCCAGATGCTTTCCTAGATGCTGGCACTGCATGCACATCCTGCACACAGATCTAGCTCGGCACTTCCAAGTATTTAGGAGTGAGGGTTCGGTTCGGGCTTTAGGCTACATAAGGATTATGTGTAGACCTGCCTACTTAAAATATCATCCCCCCACTTCCTAGTTGGGTACCTGAAGCCTAACAAATAACCTCGAAAAAGCACATTTACCCCACAGACCCTCAAAGCCGAACGAGAGCATGTCCGGGCCTGTTTCCATTGGCCTCGCCGTTCCCCTTCCAGTGTCGAGGACTGAGCCAGGGATGAACTAGCATTGAGAAAAACGATGTACCCGTCTGAGGCACAGGCAAATGCAGGATCTGTTGGAACCACTTCTGGTCCCCAGCCAATCCCATATAGCATAGCTTTCTGGAAGATATGCCATCAAGTTTGAATCTCCTGGAGACTCGACATCAATAAGTGGTCTTATGGGCCAGAAAACTTAGCACAGAATAACCCGGTCTAGGCACACTTTCTTCAAATCATCTTTGAGGAAGCTCATAAGAACATCCAAGGTCGCGGGGAATTGCGTGCCGATCTTCTTGTTCTTTTGCATCGCCCGAGTGAGAACCGTTTGACCAGTAAGGCATGCGAGGCACAGGCGAGTCTTCAAAGTGTCCTAGGTGAGCACGAGCGAATTGCATGATCAAACAAGCGGACACAACAGCTTCATTGCCAACAAGGCTCACCCGAATGAGTATAAGGAAATGACATATTGATAACAAGCACGTTCTTGGACTTTTGGCCAGGACCCTCATCGCCGTGCAGACGAAATGGGAGATCATCAGGCCCTGTCGTGATAAGAACCCTTTTATTTAGAATTAAGGGCTTAGGGTAATTTCGAGGTAGGGTACAAGACCTCCAGTGTAGCCAACGTCGCCGTTCTGCAAAGTGCTGCTCAACCTGAGCTGCTCGTATCTGTCAGAAGCGAAGTAGCTCCTGCAAACTAGCCTAGTGCACCTGATCCTGACTTACAAACCAAGCAGCAGCTCGCGATCTTGCGGCGTAGAAGAACCAAAGCAGATGGCTTGCAATAACCAAGGCCGCTTCTCCAACCACGACATGTAGGAGCTCGGAAGAACGATACCTTAAGTTGGTTAAGGAAGGTTGTGCGGAAAACTACAAGAGCATGAACGTTCGACGATGGAAGTTTGAACAAGTCTCTGCATGGTTTCTCAACCACAAGTTTCTTCTTCTTCGACACCAGCAGCGGCAGCTTGATTTTCGATACCTTTGGTAACGATCGTGCGAAAAACTCGTGGAATCGCTTCTCTGTCCTCCTCCCAGCCAGCTTCTTGGTGATCCAGTGCATGTTGTTGCCGCTTTCGGTTTCAGCGGCTGAACACAAGTCGCTTATCCAGTTCACATCAGCATTCTTTTTTTGTAGAGCAGCGACAGCAGTATTCGATAGAGATGCATTCGCCAGACTCTGCAGCCTGTACGGCAGTGCTTCTTGCTGGGGCACATAAAGCTTGTCCAGGGTTACAGGAGAGCTCGATGCAGCAGCATTTTTCGCATCCAATCGTCGTTGTAAGTCTCGCCGCCTCGGAGCTGGACGTTTCCTGCGATAGGGCGGTGCATTTTAACCTAGCTAGCGGGTTCAGGGTTCATCCGGACTTGTGTGGTAGGTCGGTCCACGGGCAACGAGGCTAGCGATGCGGGCCTCTATGCCGTTTGTACAGTATCAGTCCGAGACAACGCTTCAACGAAACCAAGCACCAAATTAACGAGCCGACATCAAAGAAACGAATTACTCACGACGAATTAACAATGAATTAATATCTCACAAGTCAGGTCGGAATGACAAGTTCAGGGTTCAGGATTTAAGCTGTTCCCTATATATATGGGGTGAAAGGTCATTAGTTTTACGGCTTATGTAATGTGAAGCTTACGGCAGGTCGGAAGGAGTCCTCTTCGGCTCGGGTGCCGGGACGTCGAGGCCTGCGTGGGGAGCTGTGCTTCTAAGCTTGTAAAAGCCAGAGGAAGACACGGAGAGAAGAGAGTGGAGAGGGGAGAGAGGAGATCGAGAGAGAGAGAGAGAGAGAGAGAGAGAGAGAGAGAAAGAGACAGAGAGAGAGGGAGACCGAGGCAGTGAGAGAGCACCAACGAGTGCAAGGATTCAACAGAACCAAATGAGCTCATGTGCAAGCAAAAACCTGAGATGATCTTTCGTCTCCGTCCGACGGAGGAGTCGCAGCGTGCTGGAAACCGGTGGGCAGCAGGCTGAGTCACAAATCTTGCGATCATGATTGTGTTCTAGCTCCTAGCAGCCCGTGCCTCTTCCCAATTCACAGCTCACTTGTTCAAAAACCAGCACGAGCTAGCTTGGATAAAGCTGGTGGGCAACAAGCACACATAGACACATATATAGGTGCGGGAATGCAGACTATATAGAAGCGGTATGTAGAGCAAGTGCCTCGTAAGCCCAGCTTATCCTTCTAGCATGATCAAAAACCATCAAGTAGCTGCTAGCTGCTAGTTTGCTGCGGATAGACCAGAGCATTTACAGGTTGGCTCTTAATCATGCCCGGATATTGTGTTAACTGCTGCAGCCAGCATCAAAAACCGAGTGCATATGGTGCACGAAGTTCCCGGGAAGCACGACTTTGTTGGACACAGCATCCGAAGGTTCATCGGTTTGTCAGTGGTACATGTGTGTAGCTCACAGTACATCAAGTGCCCATCCCAGAATCAATCACAAAAGCCAGCCATATTGCTAGCTGATAAAGATCCAGCTGCATGTCGGGCCGAGCGAAACCCTGCACTTCATATGGAAGCTAGCATGTACCGTGACTAGGGATTGCAACGTCTCGGTCCGTGGCACAGCACATGCAGCAGTGGGGCCAACTTCACTCATGCCTTCTTGTTTGCATGCACCTTGGCCACACCCAAAGCAAACTCCTGCAGTTGCGGATGCGATTGCAGGTAGAACACATTCACACTGCCACGAGTCGTATTTCTTCAAGCTCCTAACATATGGTTGCTATGTGTCTCTCACTCCCTCGCCATCTCTCTATCTATTTATATCTCTATCTGTCTCTCCTTCTCTCTCTCTCTCTCTCTCTCTCTTAGATTTGTGCGTGTTTTGGGTTCTCGCTTGTTTTTCTCTCTCTCTCTCTCTATCTCTCTCTTCTCTCTCTTCTCTCTCTCTCTCTCTCTATCTCTCTCTCGCTCTCTTTCACTCTCACTCTGTCACCTTCTCTTTGTATGTACGACACTGGGACAGACTTTGCCATTGAATGATGTGACAGCAGACAGGGTCCTCTTTGCTGGCACACACCAAGAAAGCCCTTGCCACCTCCTGCCAGGGTTTAAGGTTTAGGCTTTTGGAAGGGGAGAGGGATGGATAGAAAACATGTATATGCGTACACAGCGAAATGGCCTTTAGATGCTCCTGCCATTCGGCCTCGTCAACGGTTTCGTCGAGATTCTTTAAGGCCTGCTACACCATCTGATAACACATACTTGTATGTATGGATGAGTGCATATGCAGAACATACAGACATAGCCCAAAGGCCTTGTACTTCTCCTCGAGCCCAGTTTTGGCCTTTAACAACGAATCCATAACAGCACTGGCATCCTCGAGGTCTTGAAGCTGAAGTTGCAGACGTGCAACCAGGCCGACCTGCCGGGGTCGATTCCACAATTGGGGTTCTGAGTACGTGCTGCACTGTTTAAAGTCCCACCTTGGCAAGCACCTCCTTCTCCATATTTTTTTTCGTTTCGGCTCGGTTGAACCGCGGGAGGGCTTCTTTCAAATCGCTGCTTCTGCATTTTGTCAACTCGAATATTCCGGTTTTCATGGCCGCCGGAGCTTTCGATTTCGCCTTCCCTTTGGCCTTGGCTGTCGCCTTCGCAGAAGCTTTCGCTTCTCCTGCAAAGCCACCCGACCCGATAACAATCAAGGCATCGTAAAGTCGTATTAGCCTGCAGCAGCACTCTCCGTAATGGCAGCCGGCGTAGGCGTAGCTGTCGTAGACTCATGGCACCTGAGATAGGTATGCAAACAGCTATTCTGGAAGGGTCGAGGATGGTTTTATGAATAGGGATATCAGACGGACAGGTTAGGGTTTGGAGTTTTTAATGTAGGGTTTTGTTGCTAGGGTTTGGGCTTTAGTTTAAGGGTTTTTCGAAGAAAGAGAACCAGAACGAAGCGAAGCCAACGAATTGCCACTAAGTCGCAGTTCTGAGAACAGCTTTTTGGCTTCCGGTCTGTTGTCGGAGGCAAGTGGTTTGATGCTTGCCTCGATCTCGCGACGTTTTTCGAAGAGCTCAGTCTCGGAAAACTCTGTGAAGATATTGTACAGCAGGTTCCCCGAACCAGCAGGGAAGTTCGGATCGTCCCGGCAGCCTTAAGTAGACCAACATGCACAACTTTTGGGTTGTGGCTCGATTGGACTGAGATCCTTACGGCCTTGCTGGACAGCAAAGTCAATGGCATCCTTCGCTTTCTGTTCGTTGGGGGCGTAGTGCGTGAACACCTGTTCTCTCGTCAAAGACTGCTTTGTCTTTTTTTCTTGCCTGAGCTGAGCACATGAAACGAACGAGGGAGCCCAATGAGCCCACAAATTCTAAACATTGACTAAGCTGCTCAACCATCATATCCTTCAAAATGATCCCCACCGTGACCTTGTTCACGTCCTGTCCACTCGCCATGTACTCCTTGATCATATCCTTCCTCACATCACCACCCGTCCTCCATGCTTGAAGGATCTCCAGCGTGCATCGGTGAGGGTTTTTCGTAAGCCGGCGGACCGTCTGGATCGCTGCGGCCGCTTCTTTTCGTGCCACTGTGTTCGCCTCGGATCACTAGATGTATGTTGTTTGGTGGCTGCTCAAAGTTTCGGTTTGATTATTCTCATATATATATACACACATACATGTATACCCCTAGTAATAGTTTATTAATGTATGATGTTATATAACTGTCTATATATATATATATATATATATACAAATATTTATACTCCTCAGAGAAAAACTTAAGGTTTCAGGATTTAGGTTTAGGTACTATAATAGATTGGTCTAGGCACTTCATCAGCAGCAGTCGGTTCACTCGTCGAAGTCTCGGGAGGAGCAGCTGCTGGGATCGTTGTCGGAGGGGCCGCAGTGCCCTGAGGTGGGGGTGGGCCCTGAGGCGGGGGTGGGATCGGCGAAGCAGGTGTTGCGGCCGGGGTCGGCGAAGGAGCGGGGTTGGCATTTGTTGCGGCCGGGGCCGGCGAAGCACTGGGGTTCGGAGTTGCTGCGGGCGGGGAGTTTGTCGAAGCACTGCTGCCCAAGGCCAAGAGCTTTTGTCGCATGGCCTCATTCTTCCTTTGGATTTCATCCAACTTCGCCTTCTTCGTAGCATTTGCAACCTCCCTTTTGAGCCTTTCCTCCTCCTCGTGTTCCTGTTTGAGTTGTTTCGAAAGTGGCGATAGATCCAAGCTCCGGCTCGGTGCTGCTCGTGTGGGGCTGTGTGCACGTTTGAAGTTGCTCGTGCCGATTGTCGGTGGCGTCTCCCCCGTCAGCTCCTGGATCCGTTGCCTCATTCTTCGGATTTCATCCTCAACAGCTGCTTGCCGTTTCTTTTCGGTGTCTGCTGCTTCTGCTGCTGCTGCCTCTTGTGCTTTCTTAGCTGCTTCTGCTGCAAGTGCTTCCTCTCGGCGTTTCTTCTGGGCATCAGCTGCTTCTATCTCTGCGGCTAGTGCTGCTTCGAGCCTTTTCCTCTCGGCTTCTGCTGCTGCTGCTTCCTGTCTTTTCTTTTCGGCTTCTGCTGCTGCTGCTTCCTGCCTTTTCTTTTCGGCTTCGTCTGCTGCTGCCTGTCTTTTCCTCTCGGCTTCTGCTTCTGTTGCTTCTTGTCTTTTCTTCTCGGCTTCTGCTGCTGCTGCTTCTTGTCTTTTCTTCTCGGCTTCTGCTGCTGCTGCTGCTGCTTCTTGTCTTTTCTCCTCGGCTTCCTGTGCTGCTGCTGCTGCTTTTCTTTTCTTCTCGGCTTCTTCTTCTGCTGCTGCTGTGCCATGCGTAGTGGCCTCTAGCTTCTGCTTAGCAATGCGGGCCACAGCTTCTTCGTATAGTTGTTTCAGCGTAGCCTGTTCTTGTTCAAGTGCCTGCATCTTGCTATTGCTTTCAGGCTCAGAAGCCTGGGCGGAAGTTGCGGCGTCCTGACGGACAATGCTCGGGCCACTGCTTAGCTTCGGTACTGAGGGGCGGGTCAGGGTACAGGATTGAATCGCAGGGTGCAATTATTAATAAGAGTTGAAGCTACAAGCTTCAGGATTGTTGACTACACTCCTTTATGGCTCGGGGCTTTAGGACTTTGGTGTTCGTGGTTTCCGGTCTTTGGGGTATTTGGAGAGGGGCATAGGGTTTAGAATCTAAGCTGTTTGTGTGTCTATCAGAAAGCTAAAGCATGTGTCACAGTATATCTGCAATCGGCCTCTAGTATAATTAAGGAACCGCAGCACACCCTTTTCGTTTGGTTGTGGTAAGTAAGGTTCAGGATTTGGGGCACGTAGTTGTGCCGGGCACATGTGTCCCAGCCTCTTCGCTCATAAGCCTTTCCAACTCCTTTTCCAAGTCGTCATCGTCGAAGTCGTTGGCAGCGGGTGCCGGTGTTCCATCCCAGGGCTGTGTGGCTTGCGAGTCCTCTGCAGTAGCCTTGGCTATAAATCTAGAAGCACACATAAAGCCTTACGAGCTCCCGAAGCCAGGCATGAGATGACTTCATAGCCAAGTCTCGACACCTGAATCCAAGCCCCGATCAGCCTGTCACGTACCAGCAGATATTATGTGATCTCGTATATGTATATGTATATGTGTAAACATTATATGGCAGCTCAGAAACACAGGCCTCCATTATCTCCACCTTTGCAGCTCGAAGCTCAGCCTGCGGCGAGGTTGTTAATTTAAGGGCTTGAGATTCAATATATTTTGGGGGCTGTAATATTAAAGGCTCCACAAACTATAACCTTTGTGTGAGTGGCCTGTGCTTGGCGGGCCGTGTCGCCGTCGGGTGGCCGCCTTAACTTGAAATCATCGACCACACCTCTAGGTGGCTTGTGTTTCCATAAGGTACGAGCCGTCCTGATTCTGCCATCGGATCCGTGGAATTGGGGCCCAGATCCGAGTACTATAGCGTGTACGGTTACGTACGGCTTTTGTACGGGTACGGTTCTTTCTTCGTTGACTATGGCGTACGGATACGTACGGTTGTGTACGGTTGCCTCTGTTCGTGGAAAGTAGTGTAAGCCATCAAACCTCAGCATGCGAAAAGACCCTGCTTGAGCAACTGGATCTGCCAAGCAGCGATATTCTGCACCCAGCCGTACAGGAAGCCTCCAAATTATGCATAATAGATGCAGACCACTAGTGCACTACCAGGCGAAATCCGTACCCGTCTAAAGCCGTAAATGAACACACAACCGGTACCCGTACAAAGGCGTACAACACCGTACTTCCTATAGCTCACAACACCTAATACGTGCAACCGTACATCCTGCACTAGGACACAAAAAACCGTACCCGTACAAAAGCGTACAAAACCGTACATCCTGCACTAGGACACAACAACCGTACCCGTACACAAGCGTACAAAACCGTACATCCTGCTTTAGGACACAAAACCCGTACCCGTACACAGGCGTACAAAACCGTACATCCTGCACTAGGACACAAGAACCGTACCCGTACAAAAGCATACAAAAGCGTACATCCTGCACTAGCACACAAAACCCGTACCCGTACACAAGCGTACAAAACCGTACATCCTGCTTTAGGACACAAAACCCGTACCCGTACACAAGCGTGCAAAGCCGCGAAAGAGATGTGCATCGGATGTGTTTAAACCAGGCCAAACAAATCACCGAGCTGAAGCCAAGATCCTTAAGACGGACAGAAAAACAGACATTGTGGTTTTGAAGCCTCTCCATCGAACTAGCCAGATGCCTGAACTAGAACCGAAACAAGCAATTTTGGTTCGAACTTGCAAGTCTAGTCGGAGTTCAGCAAGACCAGGTCTTCGGAAAGTTGCTGTCGGTCATCGACAGGCGAGGCAGCTACTGCAAATCTGGCAGAGGTCCTGCGAAAATTAGGTCGGTATCATTCAGAAGTGAATGGTCATATTAATCTTGCCCAGGACCCAGCAACGACGGTATAAAGTGCCCAGCACTAGCAGGCGAAACCCGTACCGTACCTGCTGAAGCCGTGAGTTAACACACAACCCGGTACTATCTACAAAAGCGTACACAACCGTACATCCTGCTCTAGGACACAAAGGCCGTACCCGTACACAAGCGTACAAAACCGTACATCCTGCTTTAGGATACAAAACCCGTACCCGTACACAGGCGTACAAAACCGTACATCCTGCACTAGGACACAAGAACCGTACCCGTACACAAGCGTACAAAACCGTACATCCTGCTTTAGGACACAAAACCCGTACCCGTACACAGGCGTACACAACCGTACATCCTGCTTTAGGACACAAAAACCATACCCGTACAAAAGCGTACAAAACCGTACATCCTGCTCTAGGACACAAAGGCCGTACCCGTACACAAGCGTACAAAACCGTACATCCTGCACTAGGACTCAAAACCCACATTCGTTTGTGTATACATGGCTTCCCTGTCTTCTTGACTGACACATGTATTAGGATGTGTGCGTATATACACGGTTTGAGGTTTTGTGTCCGTAGGATGTACACTGGAAGCACACAGCTTGCATGCATGATTGCAGAGCTGGGCCTGGGATCTGGGACGGTCATTTAAAATTGGAGAAGTTGGCTGAGTTGTGTCAAACTGCTTCAAGGCTTCGTGGTATGTGAAAGTATACGTACTAAGTCCAGAGTTAGGCTTTATTCTTAAGGCGTACGAGTATACACAAACAAGGTGTCTAGCAGTCGTAGCAAGGAAGATCAGAAGCTGGGCCTTTATCCTCAAATCTCTACTATATATGAAACCTGACCGAAACGTTGCCCGGGTGTCAGGGTTTCGAGACTAAGCCCCAGTTACCCGGAAAAGAAGACACTTCTTAATTTCATAATATATCTTTCTAGAGAGTCCTAGCCAGGCTACCGAACCAAATGCATGAAAGACTTATTAACCCAGCTCTGCACGAAACATTGGCAGGTCGCATCCGACTGAAGCGGTCAGCAGCCCAAAGCTTGGAGTACGAGTGGCTTTAGGGCTAGGGTACAGCTGCTCAGCTGAGCAAGCTGTCCTTTCAATCCAGGATATCTACAATCAATAGTTTATGACTAGCATCTATGCCCACAAATAATATGTAGCAAGACTACTGGAGTGGAAGATGCCCGGGGTATATTCCCACCTATAGGTTAGGATTAAAATTTTTCGGCGGTCTGTAGGAGTTGGGCTTTGGATCTCACAGCAAGGCTCTTCTGTCAGATTGGAAACCACGATCCAACATAGAGTCCTGCGGGCAGGCAGGTAATGATTTCCGAACACCGACGTGCGTCGGCCTGGCTGAGCTCGCTTTGCAACGAATCATGCCAATCGGTCCTTGCCCTTGCCCCCCGTGCTTTGCCACCCCTGGCATGTGTCGTAGGGATATAGAGGCCATGTCAAGACCAGAAGGAAGCGGCCGGGGGTTTGTTTTGAAGCGTTTCGTAATTCTAGATTTTGTTTGCGGGACGAAGCGATAATCCTCTGCATGACCACTATAAGTCTAGTTTGCTACCAAGTAGCTTAAGGATGGGGAATCCAGAAACCGGGCCTGGACTCGAAACCACAAAGCCTCGAACCTCAAGATCAAGGTTTAGCGTGCAAGCTGGAACCAAACTCCCGACATTATGGTAGTACTCAAACACGACACCCCAAACCCCTTAAGCCCCTAAACACCGAAACCCCTAAACCTTTCAAGCCCCCAATTAAACTGCCAACAGATGCCAAACCCCGAACCCAAAAGCCGAAAAGAGTTTGGGCCCTGTGTTTTGGATCCCAACCCGGCGTATGAACCCGGTCGAAGGTGACCTCTCCCTCGGCTTCGATAAAGCACTGCAGGCTGCCTCCTCGATCCAGGGTCTAACTGTTGAACCAGGAAAGGGGGTCTCGATAAACCGGAGGTTCGGGGCGGCGGACAGCAATTACGTGCAATGGGCGGGGGTGTGATCTAAAGGGCCCGGGGCTTCCTAGGCTCTTCGAGTGAGAAGAAGTTCATGGATGAAGGTTCAGGATATTTGGGGCTGAGATTATTTTTTAAGGTTCAGGGCAGCGTGGAGAGAGGCACGGGTTTCGGATGTTTAGCACTTAGCACAGGTTCAAGCACCAACAAATTTGATGAGCTCGCAGGCTCATATGACCTACTTCAGAAAGGCTTTGACTAATAATTAGCCCGATATTCAAGAGTAGGCTAGCTGCTACGAGTAAAGCTCAATGAGGCTAGCGACTAGTCTTACCTCGGACAGTCAGGATTTCAGGCTGTGGGTTAAGGGCTAAGATTTAGGTTTCCATACCAAAAAGAAATATGTGAACATTCGCCGTGTAGCAGGATCCTCATAATAGTTTGAACAATGCAAGTACTAGCGGCAACAGTTACAAGAAGGAGGAAGTCTAGGCAACTCGTCCATAGCATAAAAAAAGGTACTTGGATCCGACAGACACGTCGTGAAAAAAACCCTGGTCCTGGGTCCTGATCTAGATCGAAATGGCAGCCCCACCACGTCCTGGGCCGGGCGACGGAAGGAGTACGGGACCCTAAGAGTCTCAACCACTAATCTGTTGGGAGAAAGACAATCCCCGAGTTATACCATATATTAAGTCGTGGTTAGATTTTTGCGAAGTGAACTTTTGGGCAGGATAAACCCCACGAGTGCAGCTCGGTCGTGCGAAGCCCCAGGATACCAACAATCCACGAACAAGGCATTCCCGTAGTTCTGTGGCTCTACTTTCCATACGTGACCTGATATATTTGCATCAGAGCCCCAGCACCAATATATGGATATTCGGGGTGATGGGGGTTGCGACTGTACAGAACCCAAGCTCAACTGCTGCAAACTTGATTGGAGTACATCCTGCACTAGGACACAAAGACCATACCCGTACAAAAGCGTACGATTTCGTACATCCTGCACTAGCACACAAAATCCGTACCCGTACACAGGCGTACAAAACCGTACATCCTGCACTAGGACACAAAAGCCCTACCCATAAACTATGGCGTTAACTAATACAGCAGCAAATCCGCCAAGACACAACACCTGTATCTCTACAAAAGCTTCTTGTCCAGTAGCCCTAGGAGACATCATACGAAAGCGTACATAACCGTGCATGCTGTGATTAGATGCTTGGACAGAAAAACCGGCCCTGGTATAGAAGCCTAGGGAACGTTTCCTCTTCCACTGCTAGCTGGGATATAAAACACGTGCCAACACAAATTAAAGCGTTCACTGAATGTAGAAGAAAGACACAAAGCGAAGCCAGGAAACCTTTGTCGATGAGCATCAGCTCGAAGCCAGAGCCATTGCGGGGCACCTTGGTTTACGGTTTGGGGTTTAAGGTTTGGGTTCATTTGAGGACGGGACTAGCTGACTAGCTATTGTATGTCAGACCGGGCACAGGATGAGGAAGAGCAGCTCGCCATTGTTCGGATGTCCCAATTGCACTCCAGACGGAGTCTTGGATCTAGTTTTTGATATCCCTTTATCGTCAACCTATGCTCTATAATTAAGGTCAAACCATCAGCTCCTATGCCTATCTCGGCGTGAAGGCCTGCGAAAGACAGGGGTTTGCATGCAAGGTTTCGACTGCACATGAGCATCTGAGTCAGCTCTAGCAGGATCAACAGCAGTGCAGTGGCATGCGGGGCACACCTCTGTCATCGCTCTCGCAGGATCGCTTGCGAGCTGAGGATGCTGAAGCTGTACCTGCCACCGGCTGCACAGCTTATGTACCGTACCGTTACATAGTGTCCATACAGCCAATCGCAATATTATGAGTGGCACTGTGCGTGCAGCTGTTTGCTCGCAGTAGCATGAATCCGTCTGTCCCAGCTATAGCTCGATCAGAGGGCGACCCAGCTGGAGCGGACTTTGAACCATATAGCAGCTAGTGCAGCCTAGGTAATATCTTTACACTACATATTACTGGGAGCCAACGGATCGTCTGCATCGATCGTCTGCACCGGAAGGCACGTGTAAAAAAAGGCGAGCCACGACTCACATGTCCGGGACCTGCAGGGAAGTAGAACTTAGGGTTAAGTTTAAGCGAAAGGTTTTGATTGTTTTCGGTTGCGAAAGGGGGTTTTAAAAACATATGACACCTACTTCCGGGCTGTGATGATTACCTAAGTTATATCAGAATATTGAACCCTACCCTTAATATATCAGACCACCCCAGTCTCATACTTCAGACCCACCCACATATCGACACATACCCTCCGAGATGCCTTGACCTTAAAGCCTTGCCCCTAAATCCTGTCTCGACTGGTACGGGTACGAACTCGGCCCGGCCTCGTGCAGCAGAAATGCCACTGCCATATCGTGACAGAAGATTTCAATTTCTGTCTGATCAGTCATCGTGCTGAGGCCCTGCTCGGACACATATGCCAGGAACTTTCGCTCGGCTTTGTCTTTCGCCATCGCGACTTTTCCGGACAAATGCCTTAGACGGTTAGGTCAGCACGGAAGGCTTTCAGTAGCTCACGAGGGCCGTGCAATGAATGTGTTAGATTAAAATCAAGCAGGACACTCCTGGAAAGCTTGAGCAGCAAAATGAAATCTCCAGAGAAACGGCGTGGTTGTCGGCGGCGGGCGACCGGCGAAAGTCTTGTTGGGCTCCTCCGGAGCCTTCTTTCCTTTTTTCTTCTTCTTATCCTCCTCATCAGCCGGAATCGTGTCCCCGCTGGCCCTTTTCTTGGCATTGCCCTTGGAAGTATCCAATCCTTGCTCCTCCTTTTCCTAGGTTGGGACAAACACTAAAGAATGCACACCCAGCAGATGTTGCAATCTATTGAGAAGAGGGTCGGCGGCAACGGCATCTGGATGCACAAAATTTCTCTGCTCCACTAAAGCTTCCATCGTAGCCAGATCGGTTTCACTGGAACTATCATCCAACGTGATGGCATCCTTGGCTTATGGAAAATTGAAACCATATGATGCTACTCGATATTTCTGAGTATTAGGCATGCTTAGCCCCAGACGGACCCAAAGATCTTCAAATGAGCCTCTGCGTACTTCTGCTGGGCAGCCTGAGTTGGATTCATACCACCAAAGAGCAGGAACCCAACTATCGCCAAGAACCTCCCGAGCTGTAGTACATGAAGACGAGCTCGGCACCGACTGCCTCAATGGATATATTATCCCAGAAAACTTCCACAAATTTGCAACAAGACCGCTAAATAATTGCAACCAATATTCGGCCGATTTATCGGATCTCCAGGCGGATCGCGATCTCCGGACTCACGATCTCCATCGCCCGCATTGGGCTCACGATGTCCATCGCCCGCATTGGGCCCACGATCTCCATCGCCCGCCTTGGGCTCACGATCTCCATCGCCCGCCTCGGGCTCACGATCTGCAGGATCGCTAGACTGCGGCTCCTTGGACTTCCACTTCGGTCGAGGTTTCAAAGCCGAACGTCGGGGCTGTCGTGGCGGACTGGCATCAATCATCTCTGGAGAACTCAAGCATCCCATCAGGTCCTCAACCTCCTCAGCCGTAAAACGGCTCAAGTCACCAAACTGCTCCTCCAGCTTTTTGTTCCTTAAATGGTTCCGAATCAGTTTCCGTGTGCGTGCTGCGAGTTTTCAGCTGGAGACCGTTTGCGAATCCAAGCGACCTCGTTGCAGGTGCTGAAGAGCTCCTGAGATGCAGAAATTACACAGCACCTACGGTTCAGTAATGGGCACATGACAAAATCTAGCATGCCCGCACACATGCAACAATAAATTTATGTGAGCCACGATGGCTCTGGCGGCTCTGGCTCTGGAGAAGCCAACAACTCTTCAATCTCATCCCAGTCAGGCGGAGCTTCATTATCAATCTCGTCAAGCATAGCATCGATCTCTTCGCCAACCTTATTGCGGCCCGTCTTAGGCTTCTTTTTCTTCTGCAGCCAACCATCCATCCTCGGACGGAGAAAAGATCAGGCCAAACGACCACAAATCTCGGCATGTTGATATGCACTAATGCAGCTGGACACTTCGCTTTCAATCGATCCAGTCGTTCGTTATGCGAAGACCTAGCTGGGCTTATGTAGACTGATACTTTGAAAGGTCGCGTATGACCATGACACTGTGTATGGCCTAGCCACTCTGTCTTTGCTCGCAGCCGGCGTACTTTTGCACAGCCTTTCTTCAGAAGGCCGGCTATAACTTTGCGATCCATCTCCGGCAATTTCCCCGAAGCCGCATTGTCCACCTTGCTTTGATCAGCGGGGCTTTGTTCTACTGAGCTTGCATATATCTATATATATGTGTGTATATATATATATATATATATGAAATTTGATTTCAAGGCACTGCGACTTCGAAAACTCGGGGGGCAGGAACCTGGTTCACCACCACATATCCTCGGAAGGCCAATTCAACAGCACAACATATCTCGACCAGGGAACAAGACGTACGAAACCAACAATATATCCAAGGGACGGAGGGATTCCAGCACACTGTCGAGGACGGAGAAGCCCTCGTGTTCGATCCAGTCTGTGGGCAACGAGCTCTTCGGGTGGGCGAATCTCATAGCGTTCGGCCACATTTGCCCAACACCTCACCGTATTTATGTACAGAGCACGGAATATATCACTGGATCTCAGCGTAAGCACGAAATGTTCTGAGCTGAGAGCTTTTCAAAGGACGTAGAATTGGCTTGAGAGCCAACGTTATTGTCTTCACCACCTACTGTCTAACTGGGCCACACCGTGCATGCTGTGCTCCTCGATCTGTCCTTGAGTTAATTTGCAAGCGAGCCACATCTTCCTCGGGGGATAGAGACACTTGTGCAGGATCGGCGCAAGGATTCTCCTCCTCTACGACAACTTATTTTTATGGAAAGTGCAGGAATCTGTCCCAGGAGTCCTCAGTCTCCATGGCTGCTGACTTTCTAAGAAAACACGAACACGAACCCAGTATTTTCAAGCTTCTGTGGCTTTGCCAGCGACCCGAAGGCCGAACTTCTACATCGATCTGCTCTATGACTCTAATCATAAGGAATTCCTCACATGCTCCGGTCCGTATGAGCCATGAGCCAGACTGCGATCCAACGTCATTTAGCCTGCTGCTCACACAGACTCACTCGGGCACAGCAGGGGCACTTGGAGCACCTGGTTTTGGCAAGACCAGCTTCAGCAGCTGGTTCATCCGCCATGATGCATTCAGCGCGTAACGGCATTATTTAAATCACGATATGCCCTGGCCCTTTAATGAATTGCTGCAAAAGGCTATAGTCTGCAGGTCTTGAGTCTCACGAATCTCGCATGGACTGACTGAGCCAGCTTCCGTGCAATCACCAGTTCCCGCTCACATCGATGCCCGCTTATGTGAACGAGAATATATGATGCTTATATGAATATCGTGAATAGAAGGCGGCTCCTATTGGAGCACCGACTATCCACATATATGGGGTTTAGGGAGTAGACAGGAAGAATCCCTATTGGGGCACCACCTGTCCACATATAAAGGAAATTAGGGTCTTTTTTTCTCAGCGAGTTTGAGCCAACCTGCAGCTGTACAGCAAACATACAGAAACCGTCTAAAAATATTGCTTCCGCTGGCCCCTGAGTGCCTGAACTCTGTACGTTTGTCCCCAAATATAGGGCTCACGGCGTCACAGATCGATACACCAAAGCTTGACAGCAGGCCTTTGGTTCCAAAAAATGCAACCGTCACTCTTTTTTCGGTGCTGCCATCCAAAAAAAGGCCTTTGCCCCAAATCGGTGCGAGTTGCATTTTTTTTTGGCGCCCGAGACTTCTCCGGGATGTTTTCAGAAGCGATAAACATTCAGACTTTCATGCAGTACTTGTTGGGTTACTGTTGCAAGACAACATACCATCAAGATAACGAGACCCTGCTTACGATTCTTGCTAGCGGTTACAGCGCTAAGTTGAGGCATTGTGGTAGAGTGCACCGCATCAACATCGCCTCGATGTCGGAGCAAATTGATAACGACTCAGTAGTTGCGACGTACTGCCCTACAAAAGAGCAGATAGCTAACGGCCTTACTAAGGTAATAAACCCCTGTGAATGGCCAGTCATGCTAGTCCAACTAAGTCTTAAACTTGTTCCCAAAAAGGAGAAAGCCCTCATAATCTTAGCAGACACAGTAGCACGTGCTGAAGCGTTTGCTGGCAGCCTGCCACAGCGCATCAATAAACAGCATCTCGTGCAGCTGCTGTCTTACCTACCGCAAGAGCAATCAGCAAGGGCTGAATCTGCAGAAGGTGTTCATTCCTTCGCATCAGGTGCTTTCGTACATGGTGCAGACAAGATTGTTTCCCAAAGCGACTGCCGTTATCACTAGGTTCTTTGAACAACTGATGCCCTCGCACACATTTACCACCGTAATCGTGCAAGAAGGTGTAATGACACCGATGCATAGGGATTCGCACAACGCACCCGACTCTAAGAATCTCCTTGTGAGCTTAACGCCGTGCACAGAACCGCTCCTGTGGGTTGAGGATCCTGAAGGTGACTCCCCATGCCCAGCACCAGGCGTTCGCCTACGAGGATTCTTCCTTAAGAGTCCTGCGAGGTTTGATCCAAGGCGTTGGCATTTGTCTGTTGCCACCAGCAATCCTAGGTTCACTGCAGTTGCCTTTACAATCAGAGACTCGACCAACATCAGTCGTGATGACGGTCACTTGTTAAAAGCGCTAGGCTTCAAGCTCAAGCAGCCGTAGACTGTTGTACATATCAGCATTTGTACAGGCTCATAGAAGCGTTCGTACATGTCCTAAAGGGGGGAGTTGAGAAAACACGTACCCCGGGCATGTTTCCTGGCGTGACTACAAGTGTCAGGTTAGGACAGAACGAAGACTCATCAACTGAACATTTGGCTCAAGGAATACAAGTGCGATTGCTGTACTTGTTGTTGTTCCTTGCTAGAACACTTGTGTCTCTTGTGTTCTTCTTTGCCCTATCGAAAAGGCGGACTTTCTTGGGCATTGAAACGTAGCTAGTGAGTGAAAGCATCGGACCCCGAGAAGTCAGAGTGGCCAAAGGCTCCGGTCTAGAATTGTGAGTTTCGTAAGGGTGGTTGTCAAAATTGTGATCCCTCTTTGGGTACCCTAAATGTGAGGTGACGTACTATCATAGGGACTTAAAAAGGGACCATAATTTTGACAACCATCCATAGGAGCAGCCCCAGTAAAATAGCAAACCCCCAACCCCTAAGCTTCCAGCCGTATCTCCAAGCTTGGATCTTCCAGCCCTAGTCCCAAAACCCTTTTACACTTATCTCTAAGCAGATGCCCCAAAACCCTTTGTTTAATCTCCCAAATCGCACACCAAGGGGCCAAGGTTTTGAAACATATCAGATCTTTACCGCATTTCGAGTAGCCTTAATGTAAGACATATGCACCTGCCTGCCTGCCTGCCTACATACGTACATACAGACATACATGTGTAAACAATACATTCATTTGACATGTATACACATCTATATGTATAGTATACACATATACACATGTATGTATATATCGCTTCCTGAAGCTCGGAGCTACAAAGCGCAAGGGCAGAGCCTTTGTTCCTGGGGCTCCGGGCCTGGGGTCAGGGTTCAAGCAGGGCGGTTCCGAGTTCCGGGCTTCCCGGTTTAGGGTTTAGGGTTTAGGGATTTAGGGTTTAGGGTTTAGGGTCTAGGGTTTAGGGAGAACACCGCCCTAAGGGTCCAAGTTTGTACTATTTATGGTTTTTGGTACCTAAAAAGGCCCTAAAGTCCTCTAATGGGGAGTACTTGGACCCTCTGGGCTGGAGGATCCAACAAGTAGATCCCTAAATAGGGGCTCCTGTAAAGTACCCTTAGTACCTATAGTCTCCATTGTAGTTCCTTTTTCTGGTAAACCCAGTTTTACGGCTAGGGTCCTATAATATAGTTTTGGGTTAACCAAAAAAAGGAACTACAATGGAAACTATAGGTAGTATAGGCCCCAGATGAGGGGATCCACTTTCTAGATCCTCCCGAAAATCTGGCCGAGGTCTGGATATGGAGGGTTAGGGCTTGAGATTTGTTTGATGTGGAGTTTCACTGCTTATGAATCAGGCAGGCTTCGGGCCTCAAATAAATACCAGTATATGGGAGTTTCCGAAATTTAGGGGTACCTTATTTTGGGGTCCTTATAATAAGGATCCTACTATTTAGGGTATTAAATTAGGGTCCCCTATTTTCGGAAACTCCCATATACTGTTTTGGGGGCTCCTTCTTACAATTATAGTATGATGGGCCCTAAAACCTTATTCCTTATTCTCTCCTATATGAAACGTCGAGCAGAGTAGAGGCAGCGTCGCATCGTCGTCTGGGCTCCTAGGCCATCGTCATCCTCATCCAGTTCCAAGTCGAAACAGTTCCCCCAGGGGTTCATGTACCCAGGTAGTATAATTATGTACTTTGGGCTTAAAGTAGTCCATACATAGGTACACTGAGACCAAAATATATACTATGGCACATGGACCCCTAGGGATTGTCATGTCCCTACTCTCCGTTTCGCCATCACCAACATAGCGGCCACATGCACTCGCTGTCTCAACTGTCGCGGGTTTCTTGCCACCAGTGTGTTCGTAGAGGCCTGAACAACACTATTCACCAATACGATTCCTTGTTGGGGTCCTTCCTACAAAACTCGACAATACACCCAAAGCCCTGTTTGTTCGAAGTACGAAGCCGCCGATATTACTCCAGGTTCCCTTTCCATTCGTGACTCTAGAACAGGTGCAGCCCAGCACGCGAGAGGTCAGTCGCGCTGGTCAGGCTTGGGAAACGTAGAGCTTTAGCCTAGGGCCATTTGGCTAAGGGTTTAGGGCTTAGGGTTTGAGGTCTTGTTGCAAAAGCAACTGAGCTAGTGCCGTCATTGTATGTCATTGCCGTAGCTGCTGTCTCTTGTCTTGCAAAGTATGGGAGTTTCCGAAAATAGAGGGACCCTAATATTGTACCCTAAAAAGTAGGATCCTCATTATAAGGACCCAAAATATGCCCCCCCCACCCCCCATATCTTCATGCTAGAGACTGCCGATCTTCTTGGAAGCCGTGGGCTGTCGGATGTTGCTTTGCGTTTAGGGTTTAGGGTTTAGGGTTAGGGTTTAGGGTTTAGGGTCTAGGGTTAGGGTTTAGGGTTTAGGGGTTCAGGGTTTCGGACCTCAGTGCGCTTCGGATATGCTTCCGGGGTGCAGGGCTCTGCGGAGATTCGGATTTCATGTTGCAGTCCACGGCTTGCTTTCTTTCGTGCTGCCACATGCCGGCCAAAGCTGCACGCGACTGTAGACCTCAATAGGGTATAGGGTTTAGGGTTAAGTTCCAAGATTCTAAGTCAATCCAACCAAGCCCTTAAAACCAAGCCCTTAAGCTAAGCCGACGTCGTGCACACTGCTCCTACGGGTTTTGCACTTCGCATCAGGTACTATTTGCCCATTGTTCGCTCTTCTGACTGAGGATCGCCGAGCAGCTGTGCTCCTTACAAGGAATATATGTAAGTTGCCATAGTAAGGACTAAGGAAGCCCTGTTGTTTGGCACAGATCCCTGCAACTTAAGCTA